GTATATAGTAATCATTTGATAAATGCTTATGAGATGATTGATTGATAGAAGAGATTCTCATTGAGCTGAAAGTGATCTCTATAGTCTCTACCAACCATTCCAATTGGGAGATTCTGTGTAAGGCTTTGAATGTCTGAATGGAAAAGGTTTTATCTAGTACCTACTATGGGTCAGGCATTGTGCTAGGCACTGATAATACTTGTACAAAAATGAGGTACTCCCTACTCTCAAGAATCTTACCTTTTAAAGGGGGGAGATAACATTTATAAGGCAGTGGGTGACCATGAAAGACAGATTTTGTCCAGAGAATCCTAGGACAGTAGACAGCTGTGCCCTTTCCAATAGCAAGAATATTCTTAGTTTTTAACAGTCTCCTGGACAGTAGATAAAAAGAGATGGAAAGGAAGGAAACAAGCATCTGTTAAGTGCCTGCTATGTACCACCTGCTTTACCACAAGCCTGGGAGATAGATGCTAATTATTGTTCCCATTTTACTGTTTAAGAAACTGAGGCCGACATAGGGTGAATGACTTGCCCAGGATGACACAGTTTATACCTGAGGTAAGATCCAGACTGGGTGCTCCATTCCATGCCTCTAGTAATGGGGAAGGAGGAGGGTTGCTAGTGTGGCTACGAGGGAGATAGCAAGATGCCAGGGTAGATACTGGTTGGTGACTGGAATGTGAAGCAGGGGGCTGGCTACGTAGAGCTAGAGAGATACAGGGTTAGGTGAGTTTGCTGTCTCTCATCCACCCACCAATCTTGACAGTTCAGGCCCAAAGCTGAGTTCTAAAACTGAGCAGATGAACTAGGGGGAAGAGGGAGGTTAGAAACAAGGTCTCTGGGGAGAAGGGGCAAGAGTTCCAGGGGGAGGGAGGAAGAGGGAAAGCCCATTGTCAGGACAGTTAATAAGATGTCCCTGTCTTCTAGAGGATTCCTGGGTTGGATGTAAAGAGTAGCCTGGGCTCAGAGGAGATAGCACTCACTATTTAGTTTGGAGTGTGACTGAATGAGTGGGAATTCATGTAAAATCTTTATGCAAATGCAGGGAGCACCAGTGCAGGAGGCTGTACCTGTCCTAGGCAAGGACACAGGTTGGCAAGGCCAGTTGGAACCAAGATAAAAGGCCATCATGAAAAATCCTGAACCATTTACTGGGGAGGATTCCCAGAGCACACTGGCTAGAGCAGTGTTTGATTTCATGGGTCAGAGATGGAGCCTGTCCCTGTTACTCTTTACCTTGGTTCTGCTGAATTCTCTCAGTTATGTCACAGGTGAGTGATTGCACCCAACTAGTCCTGCCCATACTCTGGGCCTCTCAGCTGGGGTTCACAAACTTGGGGGGAGGGAATTGTAGGGAGGAGAGGGCAGAAGAAAGAAAGAGGGGAGGGGAAAGGCCCTAGGACTTGGAAATAGCAAAGTCCACACAGGAGAAAGAAGAAGGGAGGCCATGAAGGGTACAAGGTGAGGAAGCAGCTGGACACCCTCACTCTCCTCACAGATGAGAACCCAGCTCCAGAGGTCTGAGGGCCAAAGACCTGAGGATAGCTGGAGGAGATCAGGCAGGACTAGGCATGACTCCACTGAGCTATGTCACCTGCACTGCTTAACAGCAGCTGTGTACTGCCAACTGAGGTGCCATCTTAGTGTAGATTTCACAAACACAAGTCCTGAGCCCTTTTTTGGCCCCCTTGTTGGGGAGAGGCTGGGCTGGGACTGCCCCAGATGGAGGCATGGCCTTTCTATGTGCCCGCATCAGTAGACTTTCCTCCCTTTATTAATGTAGCTCATCAGCCACACTGAAGTGATCAACCTCTGAAGCAGCCTTGGCCCCAGTGCCTTGGCCCTGCAGGCTTGGAAGCTGGTTCATTAATAAGGACTAAGGGAGAGGGGCTTGGTAAGGATGAAGGAGAGCAAAGAAACTTAGGGTTGAGAGATGGAGGTAACCTTAGAAGCCACTGAGTCCAACCCAGACTTGAAAAGAAATCCTGCCATGACATACCTGACCAGAATGCATCTAGCCTTTGCTTGAAGGCCTGCAGTGAGAAGGAGCCCATTCCTGCCTCCTGAGATGACCCATTCTTCTGGTTAGCCCTGGTGGTTAGGATATTTTTTTTAATTACCTAAAGCCTAAATTTGGTCTTCCACCCATCTATCCATCCCTCTTAGTTCAGGCCTCTACAGCCAAAAATAATAAACTCTTCCTATACAGTATAACCTAGGGAATTCTCCATTTATAAAGATAGATATGTCTATATGTGTATTATCCAATATACCATTAATATGTATAAATATAGGTTTATGTGTGAATTTATGTATATGGTGTCCCCAAAACAGCATTAATGGCACATTGTAGGTGGATAGATATGTGTTTATGTCTATGAGTGTCTGTTTAAACTATATGTGTTATATACATACATACATATGTATTATATATACATATACACACATGTATGTTAATATGAGGTAATGTATTTTAGGCAATATCAGGTAATACATTTTGGAAATAAGAAAAGGGAGTCCTAGAAAAGGGAAGTGACTTCTCTACAGTCACAGAGTAAGAAAGGAGCAGAAGTGGAATTAGAACCTGATCCCAGCACAAAGACCCCACTTTACCATAACCACCATCGCATTGAGAATGGCCTCCTGATTCCCTGATACCAAACTAATGCTCTGACTCCAATTCCACTCCATTTTCTAATATGCCATAGCACCCACCACATGAACTGAGACTTCAAGGAAAGTAAGCAGTCAGATGGGGCAGCTAGGTGGAGAATTGGCTATAGTGCTGGGCCTGGAGGTGGGAAGACTCGTCAAATCTAACCTCGGACACTTACTAGCGGTGTGACGTTGGGCAAGTCACTCAACCCTGTTTGCCTCAGTTTCCTCATCTGTAAAATGAGCTGGAGAAGGAAATGGTAAAAACCACTCCAGTCTCTCTGCCAAGAAAACCCCAGATGGGGTCAGGAAGAGTCAGACAGAACAAACAACTGAACAACAAAACAAAGGGTTCAGATAGATGCAAGCCAGGTGTGCTGTTGGGCCTGGGTAAAGACACCGAAATGAGAAGTGGAATGAAGACTTTGGGAGGAGCTAAGAGTCATTTTGTCTGGAATGAGAAATGTATAAAGAGGAAGAAAGAACACAAAAAGGCTGGAAAGGGAGCAGATTGTGGAGACTCAGGAGGTTGTATGCTCATCCTGGAGGCAACCAAACCTTCTCCCCCATCTCCCAACCCTGGGTGTTTTTGAGCCAGGGAGGCGAATGGGCAGGACTGTACTTTGTCAGCTCAGAGGAGGATGGATTGGAGAAAGAAGAGAGAATAGAAGCAGGGAGATGAATTAAGAAGCTATGACAATAGTCCAGGTAGAGGTGATGAGAGCCTGGCCGAGGGAGGCCATGTGAGCAGAAGGGGTGGATTATATAAGAGAGGGGCTGAAGTGGGAGAAGAGACAGGAGTTGGTGACCAATTAAGCCATGAATGGCAGGAGAGGGAATGTCAAGGCTGAATCCAAGGCTCCCAACCTGGGGGACTGGGCTCATGGTGGGGCCCTCAACAGAAGGAGGGAGGCCTGGAGAAGGGTCAGATTAGAGAGAAACACAAGGACTTTTATTTTATAATGCCTCTGAGATGCCTGGGGTACATGCAGGTGCTTCTTCGGGACCTTTCTCCATTTTTTATTTCCTCAGGTAAGTAAAGGGCCACCTTTCCTGTGCCCTTATGAGTCTTGTTTCCATCTTGTAACAGGCAACTGCATCTCAGAAGGGGTGTCCTTTCTGAATAAGACCCAGGGAGATGATGTTCTGTTACAGTTACACCCAAAAGTAGGAAATGAGGCCCAGAGGATTAGATTGTATTTGGAATCTAAGAATCTGCTCCTACTCACCATCTATCCAGGGGAGAGCAATTCAAGCTGGATCATTCCCCAGAAGGAGTATGAGGGGCGTCTGTCTGCCCCTGATGATAAGTCTCCGATGTTAATGAATGCAAACTCTAAAGACAGTGGATGTTATGAAATTCACATATCTTCAGTCTCTGGAGACATACATATTCAGAAATTCAATTTAACTGTCTTTGGTAAATGAACCACTTGCCCTCTTTTGGACCCCACCCTGCTGTCACACACTTGTACACTTTTAAAAGCTTCCTTCCACTCTCCCTCCTTCAGATCTTTCCAAAACCTGTCTTGCCCTCCAATTTTGTGCCTTAAGAAAGGAAGGAGGGGCAGAGGTGCTTTTTCCTTATGAAAGGGGAAAGTGGGTGGCAGAAACCTGAGGCTAGAAGGCCTGTCCCAAGGTCACACACCCATGAGCCAGCCCAAAGGAATGAATAGGACTGCCTGAATTACAGACCTACCTTCCCTGGAGAACCACGTAAAAGTTACTGACCTCCTCAGTCACTCAGTCCTTCCTCAGCCCTCCCCCTGGGAATTTCTCTGGACTGCAGAGCAGTCCCTGAAGGCTGAATGTGCCCCTGAAATCGTGAAGCAGAGACAATGTCTCCTTCTGTGTGTGCTCATTCTGATGAGACAGAGGAGATATGATATAGGGGATAAAGAAGTGTACTAGAGGAAGATGATTGGTGCTCACTGGGAGAAAAGGAAGGCTTTCTGGGGAGAAAATGAGGGAGAATTGAAGGAATTTAGTAAATACTGGCAATCTAGAAGAGAGACACTCCAGATACTGCCTATTGTCAGTTTTATTCATAGCTTATCTGGTCATCTCCATATCTCTGCCCTCTCTTCAAACCATGTAGGCCCTTTTCTCTCTTCATTACCCTTCTTTCCATCCTTCCCAACCCCCACTTTCCTGGTCCTTGTTTACCCAAATGTTTAAAGTTCTGTAAGGAGTAGAATCTCTGCTAGTCCCCCTTTCCTGACCCCTTCTCCTTCTCACTCCCCCTGGCTTCCTTCACATATTTCCCTTTCTAAGCCTCTATCCCACTTCTCAGTGACACATTGATGCTGAGTGATTCTGACTTATCGTTTTAGGGACCGTGAGTTCAGAGTCTCACATGAATTCCTGGATCAGCATTGTCATCCCAGCCCTAGTATTGGTAGTCCTGATTACAGTATGTGCCTATCTACAAATCAGATGGAAAATCCTTAACAAAATAAAAGGTAACCTAAGGACAAGAGAGATTATGATGTACTGGGGCAATGAGGCTTGGGCAGAGAATTGCACTGGTTAACTTTTTGGAGAAGGGAGGGAGTAGATGGGCCCTGAGCCCTGCACATTCTTATCAGAGTCCTAGCTTCATGGGAGGGATATGACCAGCCTGATCTTAGACACCTCTCTTCTCATCTCCAGGCATCGACAGAAGAAGAAGAAACATACCACCACGACCAAACCATAGAGGGGACAGAAGTCTAGAGAAGGGATGTGTACTTCTCCAGAAGGTTTGCCTTTCAGGTCAAGAAACACAGACAAGGACACAGGAGTAAGACATCTCCTTGCTAGTCATTCATAGATATAGATATAGCAAAGGCAAGAATGAGGCCTGTCAGGGGTAGGCAGAGAGAAGAAGATGATCTTGCCTCTTGGTCTTAGTTTTATTCTTTGAGTTTTCATCTTCTAACTCATTTGCATAAGTTTAGGGCTTGAAAAGCTAAGGGTGCCCTAAAGCTGAGAGCCCTTGACACTTTCCTGGAAGGGCATCCTCTAAATGGACAGTAATATGGTGCACTTGAGCCATCAGAAAGTAAGTAGCAAGCCCCAAGAAAATCTAATCCTAAATAAGAGCTGCCTCTGACAAAGATCTTACCCCTGGTGACCAGGAAATCAAAATAAGAGAACAGAATCAAGTCTAATGTAACTAGGTATAAAGGATAACTCTGTTTCAAAGTGATTGGCACCTGGGTCAAGAAATCTCCTTCTGGACAGGAAATGCTCATTCTAGCCAATGCTGGTAAAATAGATGTATTCCATCTTATTGGGGAAAATATTGTAGGATTTTTTTTCCTCTGGTGTTATCATTAGGTGTCTGAAGGCTCTCTTGCCTTTTAAAAGAGCTGTGCTGTGGGGAAAGGTCTCTGGGTTGTAAGCTAAAAGAGCAACAGTGGCAGAATTTAATCCTCCTCCTATGAGAAAGAGGGAGCAACTGAGCTGAAGATTCCAGCTTAAACCTGGAGCTGAAAGAAGATAGGAGCCTCAGACCCCAAAGCACCACTTCTGCTAAAAATGCAGAAAGAAAAGTCTACCTTAGCAGCACCCTTGAGGTCTTTTAAAGCAAAGCGAGTGGTTTTTCTAACAGGTGTATGGTTTTTGTTTAATGACTTAACAATATGAAGTTCACTCATATAGAACTTTCTGTCCAGTAGGGCCTTGCCTACTACAACCACACAAGACCATGTAGCAGTGATGCTGGCCAGAGTCTACACACCACAGGAGGGCAGCTGAGAGCAGCCCAGACAGCAGCAGCCCAACAATATGGACCAAAGACATTTCCCCTGCACTGCTGGAAGACTGAGCACAGATGTCCTCTATGCGTGTGTTTCTGCATAAGTGTCCATGCTTCCCATTGATGGCATATTCTGGTGGCAAACTCTGCCTCAGATTTCTAGGAGAAATGTCCTTATTTCTGTCTTTACTGACATCTTGGATGGTATTCAGCCCTTTATCCTCGTTCCCCTCTCTCCTACCAGAACTCTATCCTCTGAATGCTGATCCCTCATATGGGAGCTTTCACTTTTTCTTGTCCACAAACAGACCCCCAGGCCATTTCATTTTTTCTTTTTTTAAAATAAGTAATAATTTATTTATGTATTTTTAGTTTTCAACATTCACTTCCGTAAGATCTTGAGTTTAAAATTTTCTGCCTCTGCCCGTCCCAAAATGGCATGTAATCTGATTCAATCTCTACTTATAGTTTCATATTAACCATATTTTCACATTACTGATGATGTAAAGAAGAATTACAACTAATGGGAGGAACTATGAGAAAGAAGAAACCAAAGAAAACAACAAAAGAAAAGGAGAGCACATAGTATGCTTCTGATGAGGTCTAGAGGTCAGGGGTACTGGGACCCCAAAATCACAACAAGCAGGTCCTGCCTGAAGGAATCCGACCCAAGCCTTCTTTCAGCCAAAGACACAGTTTATTAGAACATTGTTATATTGGGCAGACTCTTAAGGACTCTGAACATGGGTAAGCAGTGGCTAGATTTTAGGAATCTGAGCAGTGGCTAGATTATAAGAATCTAAGCACCTTAATGGAGACAAGATGGACCTTATATACAGAAAGACTGTGGGAGGGACTAGGAGTGGCCAGTAAACTGGAGTGAACAGAACTCCTGGGACCTGGACCTCGTGGCCAAGGGAGAATGGAGCCTAGCTAGGATTAAGGGTGGGAAATGGCCGGGGCCCATACATAGGGGTAAGACAATGGAGGTGATATTGGGTGTAGCTACAATGAAAGGCCAGTTGATGGGATTATAGCCTCAGGGGAATGCCAGAGATTCTGCCACGTGGGAAAGTTCAGGGTTTTTCCTTTCTGGGGCCCAGATCCCAACCCCCTCACCTGCAATTCCCTTTTGGCCCAGCACTTGATTTTCCCCTCAGTCTCAGGGCAGAGCTCAGGTGTCTGGACTGGGGCTGGGACCAAGCTTCTTTCTCACCAGGGTCACATACTTTTCCTACTAACCATCTAAGTTGTCTTTGGCATTTTGGGATTGAGAAGTCTGGAAACCACCAAAGTTGCCCCTGATTCAGTCTTCTGAGGCCTGCTCCAGATTCACTGGCCTGGTCTTTGGCTGCACACCCACACTGAACTGCATTCCTCTCCCAGCCTGGCATGATAGACCTTTCCAATCAACCATTCAGGTTGTCTTGGGCTGGAAATTTGTTTCACTCTGTCTTTTTGTGGCTTCTGCTGCTCTAGAATTTGTTTAGAGTCATTTTTTTTACAGGTATTTGGAGGGGCTTGAGGGACAGCTCAAGCAAGTCACTGCTTTTACTCTGCCATCTTAGCCGCACCCCCTGGATAGCATTTTCTATCATGAGTCTTTTGGAATTGTCTTAGATCCTTGCATTGCTGAGAAGAGCTAAGTCTATCAAAGTCAGTCATCACACAATGTGCCTATTACTGTGTAGAATGTTCTGGTTCTGCTCATTTCACTCAGCATCAGTTCATGTAAGTCTTTCCAGGTTTTTCTGAAGTCTGCTTACTCATTATTTCTTATAGCACAATAGTATTCCATTACATTCATATACCACAGCTTTTTCAGCCATTCCCTAATTGATGGACATTCCCTCAATTTCCAAAGCTTTGCTACCACAAAAAGCTGCTATAAATATTTTTGTACATGTGGTTCCTTTTCCCGTTTTTTTTTTTTTTTGATCTCTTTGAGATACAAACCTAGAAGTGGTATTGCTGGGTCAAAGACCATTTTTCCAGGTCATTTCTGACCAGCTCTACACTAGGCCACAGAGCCCTTTCTCTATCTACCCCATTCCAGTTCTTCTTCATGTATTGTCTTCGGCCATTCACATCTAAGTTCCCTGAGGACAATGTAAATACCAAGATAGACCATGGTATCCCAAAGACCTCACTTCAAAATCTGCCTTAGCACTTAATAGCTATGTGGCTATGCCATCCTTCTACTCAGTAAACCACAGTGGTTTTCTATTACCACCAAAGTTATGCATCAATGTCTCTGTTTGGCATTTAAAGACCTTCACAACCTGACCCCCTTTCTAGTCTTCTTATGCTTTACTCCCCTCTGAGTACTCCATGACTCAGTGTCACTGGCCTTGTTGTTCCTTGCACAAAAAGCTCTCTGCTGGCTCTGTTCTATTTCAGGTGGTCTCCCATGCCTGGAATGCTTTCCCTCTTCATCTCTACCTCCTTGCTTCTCTGACTTCCTTCAAATCTCAGATTAAATGCCACCTTCTGCATGCATATACTCCCTACTTCAAGACACTTCCCTCTGAGATCACCTTTCATTTCTGTAGTATCTATCTTACATGTTCATACACAGAGTACCCTCTTGGATCACTATCCCAGAGCCAGGCTAGCTATATCAACTCCTTAGGGTTCTAGAAGGTATCCCTCAAGGGGTAGGGCTGTGAACCCTTGGGCTTCTATGGGCTGAAACCTCACAGGTTTTCTTTCCCCTCACACTGTTAACTACTAGTGAACTAATACCTCAGTATCTTTTAACCAGTTAATATCAATGAGCTTTTACAGAAGGATAATTTCCTTGAAAATATAGCAAGGAAAAAAAGTATAAATATTTCCCCCATACACCTTTGGGGTACACTCTCCCCAGTATTAGTCTCTGGGAAGAGTGGACTCAGACTCAGACCAATTTCTTTTTTTTTTTCTTCAAATTTATTATTGATTTGTTTTAACTTTTTTTTAAATTTTGGGTTTCAAATTCTCTCCCTCCCTCCTGCCCCTCCCCTATTCATCGAGAAGGAGAGCAATATGATATCAATTATACATGTGAAATCATGAAAAACATATTTCCATATCAGCCATGTTACAAAAAAGCAAGAAGAATGAAGTAAGTGAAAAATGATACTTCAAATTAGACTCAAAGTTCATCAATTCCCTCTCTGGGAGGTGAATAACATTTTTCATCAGTCCTTTAGAATTGTGTTTCATTACTGCAGTGGTCAGGGTAGTGAAGTCTTTCACAGTTGATTATCATTATAAAGTTGCTGTTACTGTATGCAATGTTCTCTTGGTTCTGCTCCCTTCACTTTGAATCAATTCATAAAAGACTTCCCAAGTTTTCTGAAACTATCTCTTTCATCATTTCTTATAGCACAATAGTATTCCATTGCATTCACAGACCACAACTTGTTCAGTCATTCCTCAATTGATGGACATCCCCTTGATTTCCAATTCTTTGCCACAACAAAAAGAGCTGCTATAAGTATTTTTGTCCAAATAGGTCCTTTCTCTTTGATCTTTCTAGAAGATAAAATCAGAACAATTTCTAAACAGCATTGGTCCCACCAAGTTCATATCCAAATTCTTCTAATGTTAGCCAGGTCACAAAGATCCTGAGGGTTGCTCCTTATTGCCAGCTGCAAGACTAGCATTAACTCAATTCCCAAACTCCCAAATGACTCACTCTCCTTACGTTTTGAAACTCACAGGCTTGTCACCTCTAATCTTCCACACTTGCCAAAGTAGTTTCCTAAACCCCAGGTCTGACCTTGTAGTTGTTCTTAAGTCATGTCTAACTCTTCATGGCCCCATTTGGGGTTTTCTTGGCAGAGATGCTGGAGTAGTTTGCCATTTCCTTCTCCAGCTCATTTGACACATGAGGAAACTGAGGCAAACAGAGCAAAGTGACTTGCCCAGGGTCACACTGTTAGTCAATGTCTGAGGGCAGATTTGAACTCAGGAAGATGAGTCTTCCTGATGCCTTCCAGGCCAGGACTCTATCCACTGTACCACCTAGCTGTCCTCAAGCCCAGCTTGTAACTCCTCTACTACATAAATTCCATTAGGCTCCCTATCACAACTAGAATTAAATATAAGCTCCTTTGTTCGCATTTAAAGCCCTTCACAACCTCATCTCAACTATCTTTCCATGTCCATTATACATCCCTACCCTCCAACACACATAATCTGGAGTCCAGTCTAACCAACTTTCTTACTGCTGCTCATGCACAATATTCCCTGTGTCTCCATGCCATTACAATGGCTATTCTCTGTACCTGGAATACTCTCTGTCTTCACTTCTACCTCCTTGAATCCCTAGTATCCTTCAAGACTCTGCTTAAATGTCACCTTCTACATTATCAACCACCCTTCCACCTCCTAGAGCTTTCCCTAACAAAACTACCTTATATTTGTTTTGTGTGTCTTTTGTATACACATACAGAGCACACAAAACAACATGCATTTTGTCTCATATGACAGAGTAGAAATTTCTTTTTTTCTTTTTTTATATTAATTTATTTTGATTTATCAATAATCAGTTCCATATGCTTTTGAGTTTAAAATTTTTCTCCCCCTTCCTCCCCACCACCCTCCCGAAGATGGTGCACAATCTGATATAGGCTATACATTTTCATTCATATTAAGCATATTTTCACATTAGTGATGTTGTAAGTAAAAATTAAAACCAATAGGAGGAACCATCAGAAAGAGGAAACAAAACTCAACAGAAGAGAAAAAAATTAGCAATTCAACTTCCATACTTCTTTCTTTGGATGTGGATAGCATTTTCCATCATGAGGCCTCTGGAGATGTCTTAGATCCTTGTATTGCTGGGAAGGGTTAAGTTTGTCAATATTAGTCATCACACAATGTGGCTGTTATTTTGTACAATGCTCTCTTGGTTCTGCTCACTTCACTCAGCATCAGACCATACAAGTCTTTTCATATTTTTCTGAAGTCAGCCTGTTCATCATTTCTTATAGTACAATAGTATTCCATCACATTCATATACCACAACTTGCTCAGCCATTCCCCAATTGAAAGGCATCCTCTCAATTTCCAATTCTTTGCCACCACAAAAAGAGCTGCTATGAATATGTTTGTACATGTTAGAAACTTCTTAAAGGTAGGGACTGGTGCCTGTCTGCCTCCCTCACCCTCACACTCTCTAGCTCCCCCTGCCTTTGCACTGGCCAGCCTCCACCTTGCTCACTCTCTCCTCCTTCCTTAAAATAAAACCTTTCTAAAAAATATAGTCAAGCAAAACAAATTTACAGAATGACTATAACTGAAAATGTATGTCTTATTTTT